CTCTCTCTCTTTCTCCCCTCATTCAAACAGTGTTCGACCACAAAGAGAAGCCTGCCACCAAGAGTTCACCAATTACCGACACTAAAAGGTGAGGGTTAGAAAGAAGAAGAAGAAGAAGAAGAAGAGAGGAATGAAAAAAGGAGGGGAACGAAATTGGCCACTTCAAGATNTCTCTCTCTCTCTCTCTCTCTCTCTCTCTCTCTCTCTCTCTCTTTCTCCCCTCATTCAAACAGTGTTCGACCACAAAGAGAAGCCTGCCACCAAGAGTTCACCAATTACCGACACTAAAAGGTGAGGGTTAGAAAGAAGAAGAAGAAGAAGAAGAAGAGAGGAATGAAAAAAGGAGGGGAACGAAATTGGCCACTTCAAGATTTTGTCCGGTCAACTCTCAGCTCAATTGATCGTGGTGCACCACTCGGCGATGGCGCCAGAAGAGAGAGAGAGAGAGAGAAAAGAACTCTTCGAACAAAATGTAAAGTCAAATGATGCGGCTCCAACGGCTTTCGGTAAGGCTTATTTAGTGTGCAGAGGGAGCTCCAGCAGCACATCTCTGCAGGTGGGAGAAAAAAAGATGTGTGCTTGGCTACTGTTGCCGCTGAATAAGGAAAAGAAAAGAAGTAAGTTGGGAGTCGTAAGTTGGTAGTAGCCGCATCTTCTCAGCGTTCACAGCTCCTGCTGAGAGCAGGGCAATTCAATAAAAAAGAGGGAAAAAGAGAGGGAGCTAAAAAATTGGCAATTTCCTATCTCTTCTTGGCTCTTCCCATCAATTGTACAATTTATGGTCGACAATTATCCTCTCTCTCTCTCTCCCAATCGTTTGCCATCCTTCTTCCTTCTCCATCTTTCTCTGTTTGATTGGGTAATTAGAAAAGATTTTGGAGAACACTGAGCTGAAAAGAGAGAGAGAGAGAGAGAAGGTGTCAAGAAGGTGCCACTACCGAAACTTTAGCTAGTTTCGACTAATTATCACACACATACACAAAACAGAGTGACCTCAAGACACAAGAGATTTACGAGTCAATTGTGCAGAAAAAAACAGTTCGAATGTCTTTCAGAGAAAAAAGTCGCCAGTATTGTTTGTGCAGCCAACTCTCTGACTTCTGCTTTTTCTAACGCTCATTTTTGAAGCCTTCTTCTGTAGCCGCCAAAACTGGCCCTGACGTTACTCGAGTTCATTAACTTCATGAACTTACAGAATGCCACCCAAAAGTTTCCGCCAAAGGATTCAAAGGAATCGAGTTAGAGTAGTAATGAGGTCATCACCTGGCGGTGTTCAATGTCCGCCAGATAATCAAAGCCAGACAGGCAACCACCACCACCAGGACCACGACCACCGGTGATCAACACCCAAATTGGGCTAATTAATTAGTACCGGCAAAAACGACTAATAAGTTGTAATTGAAACACACACACCACAATAGAGTCGCTCTGTGTCTCCTAGTAGCAGTGTTCTGTTCTGTTCTGTTCTGTCCTGTAGCCTTCCTCAAACTCAGGCAACTTTGCTTCCTTCCTCTCTCTCTCTCACTCGATGTGTGTGGCATTGCGCAAATCAACTCGCGCTCTCCTAGAGTTCAATTGATTTATTTATTTTACAACTTTTGCTCCATAATTATAATTAGTTTTTTTCAATTAGCCAAACACAAGGCAGGCAGAGAGCAACAGCAGCAGCTACGGCGGTGGCGGAGATGGTAATTAAAACACGGTACTCAATCATCAATATATTTATTATTATTTATTATATTAATTTAAAATGTGAAATGGATGCGAATGCTGCTGTGTTTGTTATTTAGAATGAACAACAATAATACCTTCAACAAATGCCAATGCAGTTGAAGAGATTGGGCAATTTCAATTGGGCGACGATTTGTGTCGTCGCTACAATGGCTTCAACCGTTCGCTGAAGGACGAACAACACACAAGAGGCAAAAAGAGGTCTTTCATTAATTAATTAAAAAGCGGAAGGAAGCCAGGTGAACAGCACAGCCAGGTAGACAGACATCTAGA